GGCTAATTAGAGCTTATGAATTGGCAGACAATTTGAGTTATTCAACGTGAAACAGATTTGAAATTGCGTTTTCTATTTAACTGTTTGCGCATTTGCTGCGATTTATTTGTGGCCGGCATCTAACACCTTAACGCTTAGACCCAAAGCAAAAAAGAAATAAGAAAAAAAAGAATTGTCAAAGCCAACAAAGCGACGCGACATGACTCGCAATTTACGAGATACAATTTGTATTTGATTTTATACATATATACATATATTTTTTTTGTTCACATTTTTTGCCTTTGCGTTGACTCTGAGAGTCGCGTGCCGCAGCCCAAAGAGTGTCGCAGCGAAACCGAAACCGAAACCGAAATTCAAACTGGACTTCAGCCGGTTCAGTGGACTGTCAATCTGTCTGTCAATCACTTACAGGGCGGCGCTTATAATGCACAACCTGGCGCCGGTAGCTGCCTTGGCATTATTCGCAATCGCCTACGCTCCTCGACATGCCAATCGATCCAATTGTTGGGGCATACACAGAACTCAGCCTCATCTCGAGGTTACAAGTAACTTGAACGTCGATTTGCTGAGACTTTTGTTAGCACTGAAAACCGAAAGGGATCACTCCAAAACCAATTCATACGCAAGAATGTGAGCGTCAAGAGTGCTTGACGACAGTATACAGTATATTAAGCTGAGATTCGATTTAATCCAAGGTCGACATATTACTTTCTTGCTGAACCAAATTCCCAAGGGAATCGAGCGTCAAAGCGAAAACAGAAAGGGCGCTCTAGTCGGGTATGCGCAACTAGGCGATAATCCAAATCTGTTTGGCTTGTGTTTAAGAAGCAAATTCACACTGATATTCGTTGGGCTGTCGATTAGGTCAACTACTTCTTAGTACAAATCCACTGAGCCCTAAATCCGACAATCGAATTGAGAGAATACCAGGTCCTAACTTGATTAGATACCAGAGGGAGCTGAGGAAACGGCTTGCGACTCGAATTTTGCTGGCACATTTATGCAAGCAATGCAGCCTTGCAATTACATCGATAGAACAATTATGGTATGACATTAATTGTGTGCATTCAATTCATATAAGTACAATATACTGATTAATCGTTCAGTGAGCTCTTATTAAATTCTTGTGCGTTAATTTGTGTGATGTGATGTGTGACCGCACGCAAAACCACACGCATTTACATTCAATGCACTTAACAACAGCGTGCAAAATGGCCAATAACAATTTTAATATTGGAATTTAATTGAGAAATGCTTAACACATATCCAACCTCATGAGGCATGCACACATATGCTTGACCAGCCTTAATTGTCGAATCGATATTGTCATGTCAAAGTTTTACACTCTCTGCCTTGCGAAGTTGCCTGCAGTTACAAAGAAGTTTTTGGTATTTTTTTTTATTTTTTTTTTTGTATTGTCAAGTGCATAATTGCCTTCGTAAATAATTTAGAGAATTGTCGTTCAATTGTTAAACCGAAGCCCAAGTCAAGACACTCAAAACGATTTCTTTGCTGCACGAGAATCCAAACACCTGATTTGCTGCCTTCTGTTCTAAGATATGCTCAAGAGTCATCGAGGCGAGTTATGAATGATTTAAAATAACTGGCCATAAGTAGCTGTCGCGCTTGTGCCGACTGAAGGATAGACAGACGGTCTTCGATTGCATTAATAATGATGACAACCTTTGCTCCCAGTTTTAATTCTTGATCGGCAATCAACTGACAAGTTTTTGCTGGCCACATAGCTAATGACCCTCTGTCCATTCGTATATAACAATGCAGTCTTTTCTTACGGATATTTTTAAACATTCGCCTTGGTACCAAATCTTGTTGGATAAAGAGAAGAACCTGGTCTAATATGGACTTTAAGACTCTTCGTGAGGCAGAGACTTTAAAGTAGTATTGTTTCTTGTTTTTTTAAAATAAAAACTACATATATACATATATACATGGCGTATGCGTGATTTTGTCCCTAATAAGCGCAAGTGTCAGTTGGTTGAAGGCAACTTAATTTGCCCGATAAATTGATTTAAAAACTTGGCTCCTCAAGTTGGTCGTTGCTCTGTGAACTTTGAGCGCACTCAAAAATGCATTAGCAAGTCGAAAACTTGTAAATATTTTCTAAGGAATTACGTAATAATATTAGGCCAAGTTGATGAAACGCAAAATCAATCTCTAACCGATGCTAGTTGATTGAAATTGAGCGATGGTCGTGTCCAATCTTTGAAGAAAAAAACCAAAAACAAAACATAGCGTAAAATGATTCAATTCGGGCTTTCATCTTGTTTGCACTGCGCACACAATCGTGTGTCTCTGTGCGTGTGTGTGCGTGTGCGTTTGTGTGTGTCTTTGTGTGTCTGTGTGTGTGCGTCGTTGGGACCACAAAATGGCAGCTCGTTGCAGGCCGGAAATGGCCGTTGGAAAATCTGCAGCTCAATTTGTCCGATAGATGTTCAAGTTGAGGCTAAGCCCGACAGTTACAGCGTGTGTGAGTGTTTGTGTGTGTGTGTGTGTGCATGTTTGTGTGTGTGTGTGTATGCGTGTAGCACTTTATGTATTTTTAATAAAGCAGAGACAATAATTTTAGTTCACTCTTATGCCTCGTCATTCCCCACACATTTTGCAGACAATTTAACAGCTTGCAACACTCCACTAAAATTAAATATATTTAATATGCACACACACATACACGCACACACACACGTGCCTTAAGTTAAAGTGATTACTGAATAGTTTAAACTGTCTTGTTGCTTGCCTACGAGACTTATTTTAATACCCTGAACTCATTAAAAATGGGTATAAGGGTATATTGTATTTGTGCAAAATTCAAATGTATGTAACAGGCAGAAGGAAGTATATCCGATCCAATAAAGTATATATATTATTGATCAGCATCAATAGCCGAGTCGATCTAGCCATGTCCTTCTGTCTGTCTGTCCGTATGTATGAACGCAAGGATCTCAGAACATATAAGAGCTATAGACTTGAAATTTTAGATGTAGGTGCTCCTAGTGCCTGCGCAGATCGAGTTTGTTTCCGATAATCGATAACTTACTCCGTTTCTAAGCAATCGATAAAAATCGATATCGATATCCTGTTTTTTGGGCAATTTTGGTAAATAATAATAGCTAGAGTCACCAAACATGACATATACTTACCTTCTAAAATAGAATATATACATGCATTTCAGTTCAGGGTATCCCCTAGTTGGGAGCTCCCAACTAGAACCTCTTACTGGTTTTATTTATCTTTGTATACAAGACTATTTGACCTGACTGACTAGACGAGGTTTCGGGGAATTCCACCCTCATGTGTAAAAAACGCGAAAAACGTTTGTACGAAACCCGTTTGTTCATCATTCGATATAAACTTTAAGACGATCTTTGAAAGAATTTGTTTTAAACGCGTCACGGGCAAGCCCGAAATATAACCGCCTTTATCCTATATAGACATTGGTCAAACTTTCCCAGCCCCATTACTTGGTCAAGTCTCATTTAAATCAATTTGGCATTTAAGTCTGGCAACATTATACTTGGTTACCCCCAAATATCCCAATCGCATTGTTCGGTTAGAACTCAACAGATGTTCAAAGGGGTTTGGCTCTCTGTTCATGGTTTGGTCTCTGGATCAATTTGGCATCTTAATCTGCCAACATTATTTTTGCTGGAAATTCATAAATCTCGTAACATTATTCTTGTTTTTGGATTTTGTTCAATTTGCCTTAAACATATAAGAACTTATTGAGTGTGTGTTTCGGCAATATGTTTTTATACGTATCACGGGCAAAGCCGGGCTGTATCCGTTAATCTTATATATATATATCGTATTCAGCATATATATACATATATATATATATATATATATATAATATATTATTTAAAGCATGCATTTTAAGAGGTTTACCCGATATTGGTATCTACATCCGTTTCGTTGTCATGTTAATGCCTTGCATATTTCATAAAGATCGGACAACAAGTACCGAAGTTAATCCAGCCATAGTGTGGGGCTGAGGGAAGAAGAAGCAGGCTTACAACGTGCCTGTGTGTGTGTTTATGTGGGTAACGTATCTGTGTGTGTGTGTGCATGTGGGTTACTATGCATCGCAGGCAGCCAGAACGGGGCTTAGGGTATCTCGTAGTAGGGCACGCTTGAACAGAGCCCGCATTTATGTTTTATTGGTTAAAACCAAGAAATTTGAATCGATATGTTAGCCCGTTTTTGTAAAGTGTTTAAAGAGCGTATTAAGATCGTTTTAAAACCCGTTTTGAAGATGTTTAAAAACCGTGTTAAACCTCTTCAAAGCTGTTTGAAACCTGTTTCCAAACCATTTTGAATGTTGGTCGTAAACCATTTTATTTAAATATGAATCTGGAGCATGAATACATTTGCCGTAATATATGCTTCTTGCATATAGATATATTTGCTTAAAGTTTGATTTTGTTATTAACAAGTTTTGACTGCTGTCCAGCTTAGAGTGTAGCCACTGTACTTGCTGCAACAAATTTCGTTAGCATTTGAGTTTATAGCCGGGCAGCTCTCTTATCTGTGAAACGCTATACATATATAGTTGACCAGTCGCTGAACTCGTAAAACTTTTTCAAACAGTTCCCAACACAGATACACACATAGATACAGATACAGATACAGATACAGATACAGATACAGATACAGATACAAATGCACGTCGCATTGTAGTTACTTGCTGGCTACAACAATTAGCCATTGAAATTGATAACAGTTTTTAATTACGCCACCGGCTTTACATTTTGTTGTTTCTTTTATATTTTTATTTATTTTCTTTTTGTGCTTTTCAATTTTTGTTGTTGTTTATCTTTTGGTGCGGGCCAGCATTGAAATTTTGTTCTATATTTCGAGAGCTAGAAAGCTATTGGCCCCTATCGAGGCACGATAATAGATATGTTAACAGTTTTTTATGCACTCAATAGCAATAATTAATCAACAATCTGTTACAATTTATTTAAAGTTTTTTCTATTTCCAGCATGCAACATGAGCCGAGAACTGAACGTGCTTTTAACATTAAAGGTAAGCTGAATATTTATTTCAAAACTTATGTACATAAGTGTTTTCCCAGCTACCAACTTTACAAGATATTCTTTTATTATCAAAACAATCGATAGATATATAGAATATATTGTAACCCACATCTCAATTAACAGCCTTAGTTTTTTTTGTTTGCCATCACAGCAATTGCAACTCTGCTAAGCTAACAGAATTCTGTAATCGGAATCCGAGCTGTTAACCTTCAGACAGGCGATTGTTCAGTTTCCTTCTGCAGCTCAACGAGTTGGGAACTCTTTTTGCTTTTAACTCGATTTTTTTTCTTTAATTTTTTCCTATTCTTTTTCTCGAATTATTTTTTTTTTGTTTTGCAAGCAGTTAAATCTGATCGCGAAATTTTTTTGTTTTTTTTTTTAAATTTGCAATTTTCTATAGTTTTTTTTTTTTTTTAAATTTTCTTTTTTTCAAGTTTTCTTTCAAGCTGTGTATGCATCGATAGTTCTATGTGGACGGCTTCTCTTTGGCCTTTTGTTAAACCTGGCTCAACTAAAAATAATATTTTCATTTACAATTTTCTTGATCTCGAAAAGTGTTTTCATGTTTTTTTTTTTATTATTTACTTTTTTATTTTTCTAGCCTTGTTGATAAAATGTTTTAAATTTGCTCCTGAATGTTTTCTCATTTATTTGATTGTTATAAAATAAAAAATAAAACAAATAGTGCGCTGCAATATTTTCAGTTTAATGCAATTTGTGCATAGACATGTTTGTTCTTTTTTTATTGCACATGCATTATCAACATCTCTTAGGCTCTTTACTGAAAGAGATTTTATCTTCATTTGCATGCTTTATTTATTTATTTATTTGAATGTGCAGCAAATGGTTTTGTTAATTAATTGATATAAATATTTTTATGTGGACGGCTTCTCTTCAGCCTTAATTTGGCTATGAAATTCGTGCCCTTTAAGCTAATTGCCTAAAATGTATTTGTTATGAATTGTATTAAAAAAACATATTGTTGGTTCTTGTGATTTAACCTTAGTCATTAGCATATCCAAATGATTTATGCCTATTGCATCAATAATATGAATAATTAATATAATATGAATGTTATGTATTTTACACATTGATATTCATATTTCTATGTGGACGGCTTCTCTTTAGCCTTTTTCTGTTTAGTCCTTATGTGAAATGAAGTTGAGATCCTTTGGAAGACTTTATGTAGCCTAAATAAATATAGATATTAAATTTCCAAGAGATTTAACTCGGTTTTACATTTATAGTATGATAGCTTAATAATAAAAAAAAAATTATGTTTTGTTGTTTTTCTTTTCTTTCTTTTGCCTGATAAAATGTATTAAATTTGGCCTCAAAATCTGAGTGATTGAGCGGTTCTTCATGGAACATAATTGTGGAGCTCTCGGAAATGTGGCGTGTGTTTTGTGAAAAGTGAATTAGAATGTTTTGTTTTGTTTTTCGATTGTAGTATGAATATGAATATCTATTTAAGTTCTCATTATTCATTAGCTGCGCTCAACGCGCGTCTCATCTCTCACTGTCAGCGGGTCACCGTAATACGGAGGGGGTTCCATGGGTCGTATTCAAAATTAGTAAGGCGCCACGACAACGCATTGATCAATGGGTGTATTAAGGCGCATTAGTCGAGCAAAGCCCTTCCCAGATGTCATGCGAATGGCGATAACGATACCGTGTGCTGTCTGCTGTTGATATCGTCTATTGTTTCTACTCATAGATACAAACGTATCTAAGCCAATATGCATCAGCTGAACTTAATTAATTACGCGCAGTTTCTTTATACGCTTACGGATTATTGATTCAACTTTCCATTGTCATAGGTTGATTATCATTTTATATTATTTAATTTTACTACAAGTACTTTATCCTTTTCTAAATAATTGTATTCCCTTTTGCAAAGCGTTTCTTGAATTTGTTTTGTGTAGTTTATGTTCGCCCCTGAGGGAGAATGACTGGGCGTGGCTGTTAGTTTTTGAAAGCGGAGTATTTGGGCAAAGAAACTGCTTCCCAGTCTCCTGATGGGAAGGGCACCTCGTGTAAGACTAGCCGATTGTTGTATAGGTCGCTGTGAGCTTAAATTTCTTCTTTCACCCAGGGGATCTTCGAGTCTCTGTAAAGCTACGTTCTCAGCTTAGGTCAGAGTTAAACGAAGTCTTCAAGTGATGCTGAGCCACTGAAAGCCTTTTCGAGGAACTCGAAGCCAAACTATTCGTTTTTATGCTTTGTATATTTTTAATTAATTTAAATATATTTTTGGCATATTGAGTTTATTTTTAGATTTTTTTTAATGTATCTTTAGGTTCCTCGGGCATGTGCTGTTAGCCGAGCTTGGGGCAAACATTTGTCATGCCCTGCATTTTTCCCACCGGTCGCGTTTTGTTTCCACTTTTTATTTCGCATTTGTTTTTTGTGACTTTCTTTTTCGTCTTCTTGTGATTAATCATTTGTCATTGCATTGCACTAAAGTTGCACTGTAGTTTGTGCTTCCGCAATGCACCGCACCGTCCCGCACACGCGGGACCTCTGTGCCACTCGGATGTCTTTGTGTGTGTCTGTCTGTTGCATTGTTGTCAACATGGTGGTGCGTGTGTTCATTGACGTCACAAGCAACCACCCAAGCAACCAACTAGCCACCCACTGTGTGTGCATGTTGCACGCAAACACAAAATAGTCAAACACAAACTGTTTGCCACATTGTTCCATGCAATCTCCAACTCCATGCCGCCCCCCTTCCCAGCTTACCCCTGTTCCCCTTGCGAGCACTCTAGATTTCAGCCCACTGCGCTGAGCTCTCTAGTATAAGCAGGTCAGGCCGCAGTTCGCTGAGTGCGCCTGGCGAGCGGTTCTTGCGGTTGTCCTAGCCCCCAATAGCCGCGCCGCATCCCCCTTGCCGCCACCCTGTGCCACCGCTCGCACAACAAGAAGTGCAGCAAGAACAACTCGGTCGGCTTTTGTGGTTAACTTGCAAGTTATTCTGGCAGTCTACAGTCTCTTTCAGTCCGTTTCCAGCCAACTCGCAAGCCACGTCCCTCACTCGCGTCTTGCGCTACCCGCACTGTGCTGCCGGTCCACGAGCTGCATAATAATTTTCGTTAGTTCAAATTGAAATTGATTTTTTTTTCTTTTTAAGTGCAACCGCAAGGTGACTGTACTTTCTTTGTTTTGGCCCGTTTGAGTCCAACAGCTGTCACGGCCAGCTCTCGCTCTGTTTCATTCCGCTGTTCCGCTGTTCCGCTGTTTCGCTGCTCAGTGTGACCAACATTCGTTTGTATGCAACGCTTCGATTATTGTTTTCGACACAAAAATCAATTTCAATTAACCGAATATGCAAATGGGCCAAGTTAAGCTCAGCCATCGAGTCATAAATATATGTATAAGCGCCCATTGATTCAATAAAAACCTCAAGAGAATTGTGTATTTTCACCGCCCACCAACAAGCCCTCATTCGTTCCGGCCTGGCGTCTATTGATATTTAAAGAACTTTGTCTTGTTGACACTTGTCGCGCGCCGAAAAAAAACGAATTCACAAATTTACCAAATGTCAGTCAGTCAGTCAGTCAGTCGGTTCGTTGGTCAATCAGCTATTCAGTTAAGACAATTGATGGCTCAGTCGACGTTTGCTGTTAAAGTCACGTTTTGCATTTTGTGCTTTGATTTTGTTGACGTTTAACAAATGCCCTGCAAAATAACTCAAATGCCATGCTTATGCCCTGAACCCTTTGCAAATAGGGTAAAAAGGTAAAATGCTTATGTGCAAATGTGTGAAACAGGCAGTGGGAAGCATCTTCCACCCCATCAAGTGCCATATATATTTTGTCGCTCGGCATCAAGAGCCGATTCTATGCTAATGTGTTGACATCTGTGGCTACAAAAGCTTATGATTCGTCATTTGATATATATATATAGCTTATTATATTAATTTTATTTTATTGATATCTGGTCACACATTTTTAATACATTCATCAATTTTATCCAAAAAAAAACGCTATTTCAATTCTTGAATACACACTTTTATGCAATATTTATGTCTTGAAAATTGCATAAAGATCGGACAATAGACACCGATTATGAAACATTTGGCAATGAAACACAGAATGGAAGCAAAAAGAAATTGAGAACTGTGCCTGAAACATGAGGTAACTAAACATTAAGCTGCTACCAACTGTGACCTAAATTCGAAAAACAACAGTTAAACTTCATAGGCAAGCCTCTCTGTATATAGCAGCTATAGGGTATAGCATATTCCAGTCTTTTATGCGCTTGTCCCATGTCCCATTCAGCTGATTTATCTTTCTGTGTGATTTTTTAGTTTTAAATACGGAAATCGGCTGTATATATATATTATTTAATATGTTCCCGCCTTCGCCTTTTGGCCCGCTCGTTCGTGTTGGTTCTCTTTGTTTTGTCTTCTTTTGTTTTGGTTGTACCACGAAAGTTTTTACCTGCATTTGCGTTGCATTTGTTGCTGTTAATTTCGATTGACAAATACTTTGTTGCGGGCACGACGGGTTTGCAAATCCTGAGCCGCTTGCCACATGCCGCATACCACACGGCATTTCAATTACGGTCTTTCCTTGCCGCTGATTGTGAATGGCAGCCTCATTCCGAGACAACCAAAGAGTTAACAATGTGTGTCTGTGTCTGAGTGTGCGTGAGTGTGTGCGGCGAGGGGCGTGGCTAGCGGTTGTCTTATAAGCAATAAGTCGACAATGTTCCTATTGTGTGTGTGTGTGTGTGTGTGTGTGTGTGTGTGTGGGTGGTGGGGGGGAAGAGGGAGGTTCAGACCAGAGCTAAATAAAGCCAAACAAACCCAAAAGCCGGACTCGCTAGACTTTGACTTTGGGTTAGATAACTGTGTGTGCGTATGTGTTTGTTGTGTGTGTGTGTGTGACTGGGCTCGCCCACTTATTCGATTCATTTTACCCGATAAACCAAATCAGTAGAGCACAAAATTTCAGTTGAATAGCAATAAGACAATGCCAGAGCACA